TTACGAAGGTTCGGGAAACGTGGGAAGATAGATGACGACCACCACTGTCGTCCATAGCCTGCGTCGATGAGGGTGGAGGGGAGGAAAAGTGCACTGCTACATATCGCCTCGGGGTGGAGAGGGAGAGTACAGGAGCAGTATCTCGACGGGGTTCCGATTTAGGGTGAAGATCCTCGATTAAGGTTAGGACCAGGGCAGCGGAACGACTACTTCACTAAAGACAGAAGCAGGTCCCCACAAAGCGAGTTTGCGCGAGGAGGGAAACCGGCCATAGCTTGCTTCTCCTTGGGGCCCCGCGCTAGTAGACTGGTGCGGTGGGGGAAGCGAGCCAGGCACACATAATCCCTCAAAGCGCTTCACCGTAAGGCGTGTGAAATAGGGCAAGGATATCCTTAACCAGCAGCACAAACCGGTTACGTGAGTGTACCAAAAATCTTCAGTTAAACGACCTTTCACCACCCCCCCCCCCTTTTTTGTATCTTTCTTCTCTCACTACATCGCTACTATCTTCTTTTCCCCTCAGAACCGCCACCTTCGTGCTCCGGCCTTCTCTCCATCTCCTCCCTTTGCCTCCCTTATCACGGTTTTCTACGCTCCTCCTTTCCTCTTCACCCCTCTCAGAATCACCACCTTCTCACTCCGACGTCTCCATCTCCCTTTTTTCCTCCCCTATCAAGGTGTTTTACCTTCCCCTTTTTCGCTCTCTCCTCCACCCCTTCAATCTGTCACCTCCCTGGCTTCTCTCCACCTCCCCCTGTCACGGTCTTTTTACCTTCCTCCTCTTCCCCCTCCTCTCCTCCTCGCCTACATCACTACCATCTTCTCTTCTCCTCCCCTCAGAATCGCCACCTTCGTGATCCAGCCTTCTCTCCATCTCCTCCCTTTCCCTCCCTTATCACGGTTTTCTTCCCTCCTCCTCTCCTCTTCACCCCTCTCAGAATCGCCACCTTCTCACTCCGACGTCTCCATCTCCTTCCTTTTCCTCCCTTATCACGGTGTTCTACCTTCTTCTCCTTTTCCGCTCTTTCCTCCACCCCTTCAGTTTGTCACCTCCCTGGCTTCTCTCCTTCACTTCTCTCTCCTCCATCCCTCCCACCTGTCACCCTCCTGGCTTCTCTCCATCTCCCCCCTTCCCCCTCCTTTCTTCCCCTTTTCTTCTCTCCTCCTCTTTTCTCCTTCCCTTTAAATTGGGTTGCACCCCTTCCCCATCCTCTCCTCCTCATCCCCCCGTCCACATCGGCTCAACATAGTGAACCTGGCGGGTTCAGGACATTCCAGGAGGAAGCAGCGTGGAGGGTGTGGAGAGCGGAGGCCCCTAGCGGGATCCGGATACTCAAGAAGGAAGCAGCGAGGAAGATTAGGGGAGTGATGACTGTGGGGAACCAATAACATAGGAAGGCTGCGAAAGTAGAAAAGGACTCGGTGGAAGGGGAAGGAGGGGATCGTGGAAGGGGAAGGAGGAAATTGTGGAAGGGGAAGGAGGGAATTGTAACAGTGACAGGACACCCTCCATTGCTCGGATTTGGTGGGGCCCCGTGGGACGGAAGTTCCCCTGGTGGAGAAGTCGCGGCCTGCTGCTCACCAGTGCAATAATCCGAATTCAGGTAAGTTAACCGTAAATCTGTGATACCATTCAACCTTCAAGACCTGAGGGAGTGTGGGAGAGAGAGAGGGAGAAGAAAAAGCGTGAGAGAGAGAAGAGTGATAGCGAGAAAGAGAGAGAGATGGGAGGGAGAGGAAGAGAGAGAGAAGGGAGAGAGAGAGAGTCAGAGAGCGAGTGAGAGAGACAAAAGGAAGAGTGGAGGAGGGAAGTGGGAGAGGGGTGCGGCAGAGTGGAAACAAGGAGTGGATCAAAACAAGTACGGAAGAAGAGAGAACGGGGAGAAGGAAAGGGGAAGAGGGAACGGGGAGAAGGAAAGGGAAAGAGGTGGACGGTAAGAGAGAGAGGGAGTCAAGAAGGGTCATCAAGATGAGATGTATAAGGGAAAGGGTAAAATCCAGCGGGTACACCGGAGAATTGATTCCACGCTATTCTACAGAGGGATAGCCCGACAGTATGCCCAGGGGCGCATGGAAGGAGTCATGCAAGGAGAGTCTCGGGGGTTTGCGGGGGGGGGGGGGGGGGGGGGGGGGGGGGGGGGGGGGGGGGGGGGGGATGGATCAACGGGCAGGGGGGAAGCAGCCAGGCCAGTCGAGGGGAGACGCAGGGTGCTCCCGAGGCCACTCCCAAATCATGGGCAGAGAGAGTTAAAAAAACATTCTCAGAGGAAGCGATATCGATCCAACGAATGAGAGAAGGAGAAGGAGGGGGACAAAGGGAAGAGTGGAAAATCCCGTTGAAGAATCTGACGACCGTGGGAGCATTCTTTCTCACCCGGCTCATCTCTGCCTCGGAAAACAAAATAGTACACCACGGTGGACGTTCCACCGTGGTCAAAGCCCTCCCTGGAGAAACAGTGAGAATGCGGGACGAGCTGTTTACACGCCATGCTAGCAACTGGGCATTTCATGATGACGCGGCTTTCAAATCCACGAATGATAAGGTTGGGTGGATTAGAGAACGCTTGGGGGCCTTCAAAAGATCTCTTGAAAGCAGGGCTGAATTTCCGGTCCTACCGGCGGGCCCTTCCCCCACCGGAACCGGACCGGTGGCACCGGTTGGTTGACCGCGCCGGTTCCCCCCCGGTGGAAAATCGCGCCGACGGGTAGCGGCCGATTTTGATTTTTTTTGGGGTCCGGGAGGCCTCCCTGCGGGTCGTGGAGGCTTCCCGGCCCCCCCCCAAAAAAAACTGAGTCCAGTGTAGCCGCCAGAATCTTGAAAAACTGGCGGCCTATCTGGGCCGTCGATCTGATGTGATCGGCGGCCCAGATAGGCCGCCAGTTTTTCAAGATTCGGGCGGGAAACCACCCGAAGTCGGACTGGCCAGCGTCGGCCCCCGCAGCTTCGACACTTCGTCGCAGTGACGAGTGCGGGAAAGCACGCGACTACTGAGTGCGCCCCTTGTCACGTCGGGCACGGCACGCCATGGCCTCCCCGGCCCCGTCATCCACCGGTGAAGGTAAGTGGTATTATCTATCTTAGACTTTCTTCTTCTTCTTCTTCTTCTTCTTCTTCTTCTTCTTCTTCCATTTCTTCTTCTTCTTCTTCTTCTTCTTCTTCTTCTTCTTCTTCTTCTTCTTCTTCTAAGTCTTCTTTTGGCATAGCCGAAGGCCCGAAGTTTCCGACACTCGAAGTTTCCGACGCCGGAA